ATTGAGGTAGAATCATGTGCCTTCTCTTCTGTCTTTATCGCTCGCTGCCCACTGTAAACTAGTTTCTCGTGAGCCCGCTCTTTGTTGCGCTAACCGATTACAAATTTGGATAACTGATAAGAAAGCCAAGAAAGATGTGAAAGCCTATCTTCTTCAGAGTGGTAATTTCAAAATGTCATTGATTTTCACTTATTGTAATTGTCCTTAGCCATGAAAGTAAGAGTTGGCGGCTTTGTCTTTGTTTCCCTCTCACCCATAAATCTGAGTGTGGCTCCCACCAAAGGAGGATATAAGACCGAAGGTGTGAGAAATTTTTTTAGAATTGATGCTGGCATTACGTGTGTGAACTGCTGGTCTGTTAGTGTCCTAATGCATTAGTAAACCTTTTTTCAATCCAAGTCATTTGAGTCTCCAGTGTGTCTTTCTGTGTCAGGTTCCTTATTTTACAACAACCTCTTCCAGAATTTCCACAACATATGACACCCTGCTAAAATTATTTATGAAGCCAGATGAAACAAATTAGCTTGTCAAACTCCTACCGTACATGTGATTGGCCGTCCCTGCTGTCACTCCACTTGCTTGTAAAAGCTACTTGCAACCTATTGGACAAGACAGAAGGCAGTGCATGTAACTGCAACTGTGAGTGTAAGTAGGGAGGGCAACATTTTTTTTATGGAATTCTACATGAATATTATGATTATAATCAGTGGTGTCATTTACATTTACACTTATGTGTGTGTGTGCAATTAGCTATACATGATGTGAAATTATGACTGCAAATACACAAAAAACTGTCAACTTTCAGGAGTGCTGCCTTGGAGCACTTTTGTGTTCAACTCTCAAAATCAAACCTACTCCTTTGGTACCTCATTAGTAATTCTGCCTGCAAGCCATCAGGCTGCGTTAGCCCCTAGAGCAGGGGTGTCGAACTGCGGTCCTCGAGGGCCGCAATCCGGCATGTTTTAGATGTTTCCCTCTTCCAACACACCTGATTCAAATGATCAGCTCATCATCAAGCTCTGCAGAAGTCTGATAACGATCCTGATCATTTGAATCAGGTGTGTTGGAAGAGGGAAGCATCTAAAACATGCAGGATTGCGGCCCTCGAGGACCGGATGTCGACACCCCTGCCCTAGAGCCTTTGAGGGCAAATGATATTGTGGTAGAATATCCTCTAAGGGTAGAAGATATTAAGACTCATAATTTGGCAGTCAAGCCTAAAAATACAGGTATGCAACAGAGGAGGATGATGGATGGCTGATAAAGCAGCAGAGCAGTATGCCAAAATGAATTAGCCAGTAAGCCTGACTGTCATATGAATGTTGGCTGAGGCTGAGTCGTTAATGACGTCATTGTTATGCCAAGAAGCACAGATTTATTTTTTTTTTGTTTGCAGAATCTGGTTAGCCCCTTAGGGTTAATGAAAAAGTTCTGAGATAGGCCAACATGCTCCTACTGGTCAGTTGCAACCCTGAGCATATTAGTCACATATATAGTGTCTTTAAAAAGTATTCACCTCCTTAGAAGTTTCTCTTTTATTGCATTTCTAGATAGATTTATGGTCAGTTTTTTTTTTTTTTTGAGAAGAATTTACAATTAAACTCTTTCAAGTTGAAATCAAAACAGATTACTATAAAGTAATGTCAATTCATTAAAAATACAAAATGCAAATTAATTGTTTAAATATTTATCGCCTCAAAGAGAATGAATACAAGATTTGGAGTAAAGACTGATTGTGACCTATTCACAAGAGTTCAATGCTGTAATTGCAGGTGCATCTACATTGACTTAAAGAGGGTGAATACTTGTTTAACCACTTATTTTCTGTTTTATATTCTTAATTTATTAGCATGACTTTGTCGAAAAGTGTTTTCACTCTTCTACTAAAAATAATTTCTCTAAGTTCTTATGTTGACCATGATTCAATATTGAAAAGCAATTAAAGGGGAACACTTCCAAGGAGGGTGAATACTTTATATAGGCACTGTGATGTGATTAGTAGACCCTGGCCATCTGATCTTCGCCTGAGCCCCAGTATTAATGAAATCCATAACACTGCTGACAACTTCAATTTGAGTTCTGGGCAGGCTACGAACTGAAGACCCAGACCCAGCTCGAACAAAACCGACTGGCACTGCAGAATACAAAGTTATGTGCTTGCTTTGTAAATATAGTTATATAGTTGTAAATACAAACAGATGGACAGCAAGTGCCTGACCAAACAAGTCACATGTTAAAAGAAAATGTAATTCTGATAGACTTCAACAATTAATATCAGACAATTAATATTTAGAATACAGCTGAAGAAATATTAACTAGTAAGAACTAAAAAACAAAAACAAAAACAAAAAAATATATAATTCATGCTGGATTAAAAGGGTTGTAAGGGGCTCATGGGAAAGATTTTGCAGTAAGTTCATATGAGAGATTTACCAATTTTTTAAAAAAATAATCATTCACGGTAAAAAGTCTGCAAACATGGTAGCAGGAGGGTTAGCTGTTTATATACAGTGAAATGTATTAACTAGCTAGCTAGCTGGCAGTCTTAACTAGATGCACGCTAGCTACTATTTATCAGCATGACAGTCAATGCTTAAGGCTTAATTATATGACAAAGCAGTATGTCCCAGTTGTAAATACTCTGTAAGGGTAGCTACAGTGTGTACTAAAAGGAAAAAGAAAAAGTATGACATTTGAAGTGCAGGGACAGTCTGTGGTGTGAACACATTTTGGGCAGCATGCAGGCATCTGCAGAGGGCTCTGCATGGACTAGATGTCGATGAGGGCACATGATGAAATTTATGGCAGTCGGACCCCAGGATATTTGTGGATGCAGAAAATAAAACATTACCCTCAGTGGGGAAATGTTTTGTAATTTTACATGTCTCAAATTTAGTAACAAATCTTAATTTTATTACTTTTCAAATTCATGAACAATGAAATAAGTGCATTCTACTTTAAAATTGTGGCTCTTTATGAGATTAAATTAAATTATGCTTAATATCTACAGTTTGTGAGGGTAGAATTGGTAAATAAATGTTTAGGGTCTGGGAATAAATTACTTTCTTTGACCATGTGTGGAAAATGTTGTACTCATACATTGCCAGTCAGCAGTGTGGAATGTCCTGTTCAAAGTGTTGCCTGGCCAGAAGGTTGAACATACGGATTGTGTTACTGCTATCCCACCTGCAGGGGGCTGTGCTGCAGCGGTAATTGAGCTTCAAGGCTTAGCTGATTAAGAAGACAGCAGGAAGAATCTAAGCCTGAGGAACAGCGACAGACAGTTCATTTTGTGTGCTACCGTCAGCCCGGGCCGCATGGCGCCGCACCGCTACACACCAGGCAGGTCAGCTGCTGTTCAGAGCGAGGCAGCCGCTCGCGCTGCACCTTACGGTAAGAACCGGACCAAAGTTGACAGCTGAAACGATGAACTGCTTTTCTCCTACAGGACAGAATAAGCTTGTAACATAGCCTACGATTATGATTAGTACTTTAATGAGGCCAGGAGGAGAAAATTATCATCTGAAATAACTGATTAATTAATTTAAACCAAAACACAAGCCAGAGGCAATAATATGCTTTGAAATCTTGGGCCATTTTTTTCTTTCGATTTTAAATTATTCTCAAGTTGAAGTCTTTAAATCAACCATGTAAACTTGTAGAACAAATATCAGCAAGTATGAAGCGTCTTGGTTAGTGTATAGTGTGTGATTCTTTTAACTGTCTGTGGATCCCTTCTCTTGTATTGCATTGTTTCTCATTACTGTTGTCTTTAATTTCTACATAGAGTATTTGTCCAGCTATTTTTTTTTCTAGTATTTTTGTTTAATAAACTGTTTTTTTTAATATGTTCTTTTTTCGTCATGAGACTGGTTTTACAAAGAAACATGCTCAAAAAAATTTGGTTAACAGCAAGCAAACACTTCTAGCTAGCTAAAAAAAAGACACTCCTGGATCAGATATGTTCTATCTTTCAACAGTAATTTGGGGTTTGTGGATACAGTCAACATGTACCCTATTTTTTGGCACGTGCAAAAAATATTAAAATTCAACTTGAATTAAATAATACCTTGGCCATGTATAGATGGTGAAAACACCACAGACATTTGACAGGGGAGACCATTGTTCCTTCAGGTCGTATAAAAACAGCCCAATGTCTCCCATACATGTTGTTACATTTCCATGTAACTGTACAAGTAAAACTGTATTTGGCTTTTTGTTTTAGCATTTTTGTTGTAGACAACAGTAACTGAGAATGATGCTTTTTGGTCTGAACACACAGAATAGCTAATGAGCAGTTTAGAAATTTCAAATGACAGCACAAGCTGTTGGTGCTTTGTACTGAGCAGACTGTGACTATTTTGGTCAGCAGCAGGATAAAGATTAGCTGAGTATTACTGTATACTAATGCCATCAGCTGACCTCAGGTATGCTTATTTCAACAAGGATACTTCTCACCCTGTCTGTCTTGTAGCTGTTAACCAGTTGACCTTTCTCTTCATAACAGTCTGAAGACAGCTTGTAACAAATTTGTGTACATGTGTCTGTGCTAGCAATCCTGTCTCCTATTAGGTTTATATAAAACTAATTTGCATATGTAGCATAATGCTTCATATGTCTCTACGGCAATGCAGTTACGATCAGACTAGATTTTAACAAACTTATTTTACATGTCACAAATATTTGAATGCTAACATTAATAGGCATTTTTTTCTGCCAAAATAATATTCAGTCTTGAAGTATAACGTCAACTCAGGGCTGGGCAGTACAGCTGAAGAACCTATCACATTAAATTTGATTGATCAGTTGATACTGACAAATTGATTGCCTTTTTTAAAAATAAATGTTATGTTGGTCACAATTTAAAGCCCACCTCACTGCCAGTAACCTGTATACATTTTTCCAATCTGGATTCAGCTAGAACCATATGACTAACACAGCCTCTGTCCCCTGATGCCAGCAACTTAAAACATTCTCATCCTCTTGAACCTTCTCATCCACCGTTGAAACAGTCTTTATTAGTGATGCATGATATTAAAATTTCTGGACGATATGGACATCCGATATTAAGATTTCTGATATTGCTGATAACCAATGTTACCTATGTCGATATTCAATTTTTGTTCACACCGACAAATGAGTATATATAAGCACTGTCAGAATGTGACAACTATTCAAAAGAAGCCCATACCAAATTAGACCACATAGTCTTCTTTATTACGGAACAAAAGTAAAACACATTTAAACATATTTAAACATATTTAGCATTCAAGTCCAGGACCATTAATGTAAAAACATCTGTGAAATAGCAGCAATATCAAATGTAAAGGAAATACATCCTGACTGTATTTTGAAATGGGATGTGCAAATTTTGTGCTATAGTCTGT